GTATACCTGCAAAAGAGAGGCTGAGAGAGCATTAACGTTTCTGTAGTATCTTTTGGTGAAGACAGAAACTGGAGATGACCTGAAGCCATGGCTTGCCAGCACACCTGGTGAAGTGTCTCAGAAAAGCCCTGTCTGGACCCAGGGAGTCTCTCAGCAGAACTCTGAGTGAAAAGGCTGGATGCTATGTGCTCCCAGAGAGACACACATGCATAAGCCCAGCTAGGAGTCTCCTCTTGGCTTTATCCTTTAGGCATCCTGCAGACATCCTTTCACTGTGATGCAGGGCTGCCTCTACAGAAAAGTGTGGGTTTGATAATCCCCACGGATTACATGCTGATTCTCCAAGAACCAGGGTCAGCCCTTGATCACAAGAGCTAGAGAGTCACCAAATATTTTTGAGCAATTTAACCCGAAAACTTCCTCCATTTGTGAATACAAAGCTGATAAATTGCCTACAAAAGATTCAGCAGGGAAATCTAAGTCATTTAAATGTCAGTAAATTCTTCCTAATTAAATTATTACCAAAAGTAACCTCGCAACATTGTATTATTCACTGAAACTCCTAAAGAGGCAGAGACCCTTTCAACTGCCTAAAAATCCTGCTGATTATTAGACCTTCACCATTTTCCCGAGCTTGTTTATAGGAGAAGGAAGGACTGGGGTTCCCTCTCAATTACAATTAAAATTTTCTAATGACTGCAAAAGTAATTTACTGCTTATGACTCTGCTTTCCTTCTGCCTCACATACTCCCAAACTGGGAGAGTCTAGTAATTTATTGTTCATGTGTTCACTTTAGTAGTCTGGTATTTTAAATCTGTGACACAGAAGAAGTGAATCAGCTTGAGGGAATACTAACAAGGTTGAGAAATGGTCTTGCTTCAGCTACTGGATCCAAGTGCTTCACTCATGCTTCAAATGCCAGTGTAGTGCATTATCTGACATCTTTGCAACCACGGTTTTAAGGTGACAATCTGCTAATTCAGCTAAAACTTAACCTGACACTGCCCCAAGTGTAAAGCAGAACAAAGGAGAGGTTAACCTCGAGGTATAGACTACAAGCATAAGAGGTCAGGGATCAGAGGGTTTTTTTCCTGTAAGAAAACTCATGTTGCACAAAGCACAGCAATACAAAATTCAAAAACCCAGCCCAGAGCACTGCTAGAATTTAGATCTAGTTTTCTGGCAGACTACAAAAAAAAAGTGGCTAATACAGTGGGATGGCCTGTCCACATGAATTCCCAGAGGAAAGGGAGAGGTTCTTATTATAAATTAGAGACAAAGCCAACTCAACTCCTGCCCAAAACAAAGTCAACCAGACTCTCACAATCCCTCGTACCTGGTTGCAAATCACAGCGAGACCACGAGGGGGGAGCATAACCCAAGAGTTCATGTTTCTTGCCAAAATCTGAGATCCCACAACAGCTAAAGGAGGACACAATCCATTTATAATTATAACACCATATTATCAAACACTGGGCGTAGTCCAGTCCTAAACTAACAATGAGATGGTACCATTAATTAATACCGTTTGCTTCTACCTTTGATTTGTAATGGCCTACACATTCTTAGTTCAAATATGGGGAGAAAAGTAGGACTTCTCTCCCTTGCAGATAGGCAAATTATTATTCTTCCCATTTTCCTAGGTAGAGAAACTAAGGCAGAGTGTGTAGCAGGCTGCTTTATGCCAAGATGAAACAGGTGATAGATCTTACTTCCCTCTCCCTTAGGCTTTTAGAGGGCTTGAGCAAAAATCAAGACAACATGATGTGTTCTCAATAAAAGTTGAGACACTCCCTAATCTCTCAAAAATCTTCAGAACAAACTTTCTCAAACATTTGACACTTTCATCTGTCAGGCTCTCGGTCTGATGGCCCACACAAGGCAACCTAGCTTTGTCTCCAGCAGCCCTGTACGTGAAAAGCTTGCTTTGAAGTCTCTCAGAAAAAAAAAAAAAAAAAAAATATCATTGCAGCTTTTAGTGGCTCAAAATGTTGAAACTGAGATTGGAAGAAAACATCATCAGAAAGTAATCACAGCTTCTCCACTGGTACACTGACTTTCTTTCCTGAGCTCCGCTTCTAAGACTAACTGTCTAAGCAAGGTTTCAAACAAACAAACATGCATCTTTCTCATACAGAGGGGCCTTCCTTCTGCAGAAAACAGTCTCCCGAGAGCCTTTAACCCTACAGAGCAGTCTGCAAGCCACAGGGAATGTAACAAGCTGGCCTGAGAGAGGTGATGAGGACTGCCAAGGTGACAGGCAGTCCCCTGGTTTGGAAGGTCAGCAGGAATTAGGTTTGCTCTCCTGAAACCCCCTCAGCAGTTTCTACACCAGACCCAGAGTTACGGCCTACCTTACACAAAGGAATTCATTGCACAGGGAAAGGTTGGATGTGAGGAGCCTCCTGCTTCTCATTCCCCTTATGGAGAGCATGTTTCATTTGTTAAATATCCCCGTGTTGCATTTCTAGTCAGGACTCATCCAGCTTTTCCAGCCTTTGAATCACACCCTACTTATTTTCTACTATCATACATTTCTCCCCCTGTACAGGTTTGCAGACTGTGATCAGATCAGCTCTTAACCTTCTCCTGGAATTTCATTTCACAAGCTCTGTGTCAGCCTCTGGGAATCTTTTCTGAATTTCTGAACTACTGAGAAGTGACTTTTACAGTTTTCCCAAGGGTGTGGAATAGGACAATTACTTGATTTCTCAGTTGTAAATGTTGTTAGCACTGAGGTCAACAGCAAAATTAAACTGTACAGTCTGGCTCTGCTGTTTGATGATCTCTAGACAAAAACCCAGTATAAGCAGGAATCCTTCCATCAGCTCCAGGCTTAGATCCACAGCTTCAACTCAATATTTAAGGAACTTGGCTTTTGGAAATATATACTTATTTTTCCAGTATTTTTTAAGAACTAATGAAGATAGAGATGTTTAAAATTTCTGTTGCTGACTGGTTATAGCCTTTTCCCTTCCTACTTTGTCCTGTAGCCCCTGGTGATAAAAACAAAGCACCTGAGTGAGCCAGAAAACACACCACGTCATGTTTTCTCTTTGTCCATCCCTCTAGCAAATGCCTTCTCACTCTAACTCAGACAGAAGTTCAGCCCTTTATCTTTCTGAGCTAGGACCACTGACCACCTCCCTAACGGGCATCCTGACTGACTGATTGAGTCTGCCCTCCACAAGACAGTCCTAACACTGAAGGTTTTTTTCAGCATACAGGGATAGACTCAGCCCAGTCCATGTTACTGACATGGAAAGGAGCCAAACAACTAATACTCCATTTTATATGCTGCAATTGATACGAGCCACTTCTCATCTGTCATCACCCCACAGAACAGCCCACAATATGCTACTTATGGCTACAGAAGTAGAAGTTAAGTCAGGAATGAGTGAGCAGTATTTTTCAGAAAATAAGAATGAGATCCAATGAAACAGTCTGAAAGCAACCAGGGGAAACTACTTTCCCACTCAGCACATAATTAAATCATTGACCTCTTTGCCACAGGATATTACAGCGGCCAAAAATATAAATAGGTTTAAAAGGCACAGGACTAATCTGCGCAGGGAAGAATCGCTAGTGGCTGTTCATGAATGCTTGGATGCAGTGCTTGGCTCAGACAGTCCCTTTAAACTGCTGCCCGTGAGAGACTGGAAGTGGCTGCCTGGGTCACAGTCACACTCAGCACACCTCAGAACATCTGCTGCCGGGGCTGGAGGCACCATCCTCAGTGAGGCAGGTTATGGTCTTGTCACGTAATGCTGTTCTGTCCTCGCTTCTCTTTTGCTGACATCCAGACAGACTTCCCTCCCTTGGGTCTCCGTATGCTGAACTGCAGCTTCTTCTCCCCTTCTGGGCTGCAGGCACAGCACAACCGGCTGCCCCTCTCCCGTGAGATCCTGGCCTGGCCGAGGGACCGTTGCTTCCCACTGCGTGGCCAGGCTTATTGCAGACAAGGGTAGGGGACAGGGGGAAGGCTTTGGGAGGCTGCCTGTATTCAGTACTGGTGGTTTGGTGCAAAAGGATGCAGGGGTTGTCCTCCCTCAGCATTTGTCTAAAAAAAAAAAAAAAAAAAAAAAAAAACAGAGGAAAGATGTTCTTGGGCTTTGGCTCAAAACTGATAAGTAGAAGATAAGAAAATCAACTTTAGTTGTGCCTCTAATTTCCTGCATAATGTGAAGCAAAACTGTATGCTGCCTAAAGAAGGACATAACATTTCTCTTCTACTAGTTGCTGTCTTGCTCCTTTAGACTGTAAGCTGCTCAATGAGACGCTGTCTCTTACAATAGTAAGAGTACTTACGCATTACTATACAGGAACCTGTGTAATAGGGTCTTGATGTCATTTGAAGAAGTCTCTGCACTACTGTAATAAATGCAGTGGTTTTACCTCTTACAGATACTCTATGACATTTTCAAAATAAAGCATCAGAGTAATTCCAAAACATGTTTGTTTTATGAACATATAAATGTCACCTGCCACTGCCTGTCACTGAAGGCAAACTTCTTCCATACTAAGTGCTAATGTTAAGATCTATTTCAACATATTTACATTCCTCCCATTCCAAAAGCATCTGCATACCTTAAACACAGTCACTATGAACAGTCACTAGGAACAATTTATAAATTCCTATCGCTTCCCCTGGCAGTTCTTCCGTGTGTGTACAGGTTTCCCAACGGAGAAAGATCTGCTTATTTATCTGCTTTATAGATAATAGGGCTTAAAGGGTAGGACTGGAAATTGGTATTGTGTTATTCTCATGTTGGAATATCATCTCCAAAAGGGAAAGTTTTTAGCTTTTCCTGATGATGGTCAGATTCATCAGCTCTTCTCTGGAAATTTATCCCATGGCTACTGTGCCTTCAATATAAATAGAAAGAAATTAGTAGGAGAAAAAAAAAAACCTCTGAACTTTACTTTCTGAGGATGTACAGTTGCACCTGCTGCACTAAGAGAAATGTACCATGATGCTTTATTTTCTGTTTTTTGGAAGGGGATGAAGGTGAAAAAGGAGATAGAGGAGAAGTGGGCAAACAAGGAAAGGTTGGACCAAAAGGACCAAAAGGTATTTATGACAGTTTGTTGGCTATTACTGGTATCTAAATAACATTATACACAACTATACTGGTGCATATGATCAGTGATGTTTAGTGCTTTTCATTCCTGTTGCACCAGTGTATTTCACAATCCTGTCAAACATTAATCAGTGAACCTCATGATACTCAGAGAGCTTGGTGCAATTCCTACCAATACATAAGAGAGTTATACATGGCAATAAAGTCATGTAATAAACCAGTACATTTACTGCTGCTCTCCCAAATGGCTGTCATGAATGTGATCCACAAGACCCAGATCATACATATAATCATTACTGAGATCATATGTATAATTAGAAAGATTACTGCTCTCTTTCTGAAATGATCCTTTAGCTGAAACTGAATTTGGAAAGTTATTTCCTGGTAATACATCAGGATGCTCAACAACATTTGGCCTCAGTTGTCCCTATTTTGCAGAAAAGCAGAGGCATACACTGAGAAAGTTCCTCTGCTCAAACAGCATCTGAGCTGAGAACAAGGAGTCGCAGATGTCTCAGGACTTGGCTCTATTAAACATATCCCATATCCACAGTGTGAGTTGGGAAGAGCATTTGGAGGCACCAGATGTGATGGTGTCAGCCTTGTTTGCATTCTTTAATTCAAAAGCTTAATTTATCATTAAAGTTTAATGATAATACATATGCATGGTCTTTCTTCCTCAGCAGTGGTTTAAGACTAATCAGGAAAGATTTTACTTTTACAGAAACTTTAAAATCACACTGTTAGTACTGTTATAATAAAAAAACTTTTCCATTTTTAAATGCATTCACATGATTTTGCTTCTTAGTTAAAAAAAAAAAAAAAATCAGGTAAGATACAAGGGAATTGGGTAACCAACCATTCACGAAGCATCTTAGTGATTCAGTGTGCAAACTGAAATTCCCTAAATTGGGCTGCCATCATTAGCAAGCTATTTTAGAACTTAAATGATTAATCAATTAAAAAGGCATCCATTATTTTGAGGGTCTGAGGACTGGGAAAGCACATACAGCAAATCTAGTAGCTCTCTATTTGCAGTCCTGCTTTGAGAAGGATTCCCAGCAAAGCCATGAGAACTCTACCTCAAGGAAGAAGGAAAGGCTTTTGTCTAGGGTAGACAAAAACAAAACAAAACAAATAAAGCCTGCTGTTGGTCTGGTTTGGCTGTGAAGTAAAATCAGTATCTGAATACTTACTAGAAGTTCTTGTTTGTACTTTCTGTAAGAAAACATGTTATTTCTGGGCATTTGAACAGGTAGTTCTATTAAGGTGCCTTGCAATGTCCTACTGTTGTATCCTACAGTAGCAGAGATCTGCACTGTCCTCCAGCTATTCTCAGGGCTCCGCTAATTTCGACTTCGCCACACATGCAAACTGGCCATGCTCAGGAAAAATAGCAGCAATAAAGAGATTAGTGTCTTGGCAAAGAAATTACAGGAACCATTCATATTCATTTCCTCTTTATTTCTTCTCTTAGGAAACAAAGGACCTGTCGGGGATGTTGGTGACCAGGGAATGCTTGGGAAAATTGGTCCAATTGGTGGAAAGGGTAAGCTCTGGCCTGGGAATTTTCTTGTTTTTTCCCTCAAGGTAAATATGTGTTTTGTGAGTGTTCCAGGTATGGAGTAATATCAAATAACGGCTGTGACCAATGCTCTCCAAATAAAGTTATGCATAAAGATTGGTGATGAGAGCTAACTGAGATATTCTTGTTTTATTTCCCATGTGCAATATATCCAACTTCACTAAAATAATTTGCTTTATGAGTTAAGAAATCAAGCCTCTCTGATAATAAAAGAAGGGAGAAATCCAGCCCTTGTGAAGAAAATCTTCTGAATGATCTAAACGAGAAAGCCAAATTTGTACCTCTGTTTTGAATGCTGAAGGCCTAAGTCAGTATTCTGCTGCTGCTAAGGATGTCACACCTTGTCACCTGCACTGCTGTGGGACATGTGAGTGAGCAATGCACAGGACAGCTCAGTAAGGAAAGGATTTTAGGAGTTTAAAGAAAGCACTCATGTAACCAGGGACAACAACTACTTGCAAGTCAAGGTAGACTCCAAGTCTACCTGGGCAATAATGTAATGAAATTATGCTCTAGTCATCTGAGAAGAGGATCAGGCATTCCTTCCCAGTATTCCTAAAGAGCTACTTAAGAAGGAATATTACTTCTGTCACAAGGAGACCTGCCTTGAAAGCTGAGCAGGTACTCACTCCACTGTCCCCGGGGAAACTGGTCTCTAACCAGCACATCAACCCAAGCATGTGGGTGGAACAATCTCCCCAGGGAGCTTCTCACGCCAATGTTTTTAATAAGCCTTCGATGGCCTCTAGCCAGCCTCACTATCAGAGAAGAACAAAAGAATTTGGCCTGGGGGAGCAATTTTCAGAACGACCTAGACAACTGAAAACACGGATGGTTATCTCCTAAAATGTCTTCAATCACCAAACGAGACCAGAATTTAAGAATCCCACAAACTGTTTATCTGTAAGTAAACCAATGTTCTGAGCCTTTAAATCAAGCTCTCTCTCAACTTGAATGTACAATTTATTGCCCCCTTCCAGTTTTTCTCGGTTTTTTTCTTTATTTGCAGAAGCAAAGGTCACTAAGTCACTGTTCAAATCTACCATTAAACATTCAAGTTCTTAATGAAGCAACCCTGAAATTTCAGCTTCTAAGTGTGCAGTATCAAACAATGCTAATTAAAATGACAGCCAACTCCTAATTTCTTTTAAAAACCACAGCCATATAAAAGAAAAAGCACATCAAAACAAGGCCATCAACAAGGCAGAGCAAGCATTAGTATTTTTTGACCTCTGAGGGTTTTAATTCACAAAAGAGCTGACAAGAATTTAAGATAAAAACCAGCTGTTTCTGATCTAAATTACAGCTGAGATTTTTTAAAAAGCTAATCACCTCCACGTATATAGTAGCACAGCATTTGGAGAAGTATTTCTATCATTTTTATGATTTACAGAAGAAGAGGAAAGCAGGTGGATGAAAATAAATCACATTTCCATGAACTATATCTGAAATGAAATGCTGCTCCTTACTGACCTCATTTCATGCAGGTACTAACTGCTGCCCGCACACATCATCTGTTGCACACATGAATTCAGTGGCTTAGTGCACATCAGCCTCAGCTGGTGCCTCATGCTGTCATGGAGCTACTGAACCCAGGGAAGGGATCTGTCCTGAAAGGCAACAAGAAAAGCCAGGTCTCATCTCCTGCAGATTTCTTGAGTGCTTTCAGCCTCTCAGAATCATTTTGCAGTTGCTATTTAAAGTGGTACCAGGAACCAGCAGCACACAAGATGCCTGTGTTATCAGTGAGTTAGCTATTAAAGGGTTCTCCTTATTTCCATACACGAAAATTAATCGTGGTGTGTTTGACTTGGCACATCTACCAGTACAGTACCTCAGGTCTTTCTATCAGAAGCACACCGTTAGTATATTATTAAACAGGTTTTCAAATAGGCTCCCCTGACATGTGCACCGTCTGAGATCTGAGAATATATTTTCCTCTTTATTCAGGTGACAAAGGAGCCAAAGGCTTACTGGGAGTTTCTGGAAAAAAGGGAAAAGCAGGTATGCTATGTCTCCTTTTCTGCAGAATGGCCAAATCTACTCGGTCTTTGATTTCAGGGCTGGTTTGTCTGCAGTTTCATAAAATTTTGAGACCTATGGAAAAACATGAGAATAGATGAAATGAATGGGAAGAGACTGAAAAAGTTTTGTTTAGCAAAATGAAGGCTTGGGTAGGGACATGACAGATGCCTATGAATATACCAACATACACAAAATATGAAGAGTTACCTCAGTTAATGGGCAATCATAAAAATTAACACATAGACAGGCCAACAGTACATTTATACTGTAAACTAGAATAAAGTTTCTGAATACTGGAGGAATGAAGTCCCTGAAGAGTTTCCTAATTGGAGCATGAAAAATGAAAAAATAAGTGATTTTAGGTAGAGTGTAATCTGTTATCAAATTAATGCAGTGCATTTGCTTACAGGAGGAGAATTGGATCTGATGACCCAGAAAGTTCTTCTCAGTCCTAATAACCTTAAATGTTTTCCCACCTTGAATGTACAGTTCTGTTTATTTTTACAAGATTTCATATGCAATGCTAATTTGGTTCTTAATGGGAAGCCATCAGCAACTTATTTTCTTCCTGAGAATAACAGGAACAAACAAAACCTATACCAAGCCAAATTTCAGTTTACCAACAAAAATATAACTGAGACTTCAGTGCTTGAAAGTTTTTGATTATTTGAGTTGGTATCGACTATTTCTGCTGTACCACAGCTGCATGCAGCAATTCACTAACTTAGTCCTTCTACCAAAGTTTTGCCAATCCTACCTTTATGCATACTCACAAAACTCCTTCGCTGAGAAAGCTGCAGTTCCACATTTCATGGATGCTGCTGCTGCTTCTATTAGAAGGCCAAGGAACCTGTGCTGTTTACAGGTACCAAGGTAGACCTTTGGCATTCAGATGCAACGCTGTAGTGATCACCATGACAAGCCTCATCTCTGCAGCTAGATAGAATCAATAATGAGAGGGGCAGAGGATGTGCAAATCCCACACTAATATGGGTGGAAAGAAGATGGCAAACTCTTCTATCTGCATTTTTAAAAGCAGGGGGGGTTAAGCCAGTTAGCAAGGGAGTGTACAGAGCCAAAATATTAAGCACTTTGATCAACAGAATTATGGTCAGCAGGGCAGGGTGAGACTAGCTCTCCACAAGTGGAGGTCAAGTCTTCAGAAGGTTTGGCAGTGGGCTACAGATCACCTTCCATGCACACACACACACACACACACACACACACACACACACACACACAAATGCTTTTAAACAGATAAATCCTCTATGCTTTGTATTGCATCAGGCACTGTCTGTGACTGTGGAAGATACCGCAGAGTTGTTGGACAACTAAATATCAATGTTGCTCGTCTTAACACGTCCATCAAGTTCGTAAAGAATGGTAAGGATCCTTATGTATTTGATGTGATTTATTTGGCTCCTGTAACATGTATCATTGCTGTTCTTCTACCATTGCTGCTTTATGGCAGCATCCATAGATGACCCAGAGAGACGGTTCCACTGTGTAAGGCACTCCAAAAACATACAGAAAAGCAGGTCTTACACCTGATATAAGCAGCAGTTGACTAAAAGCAAAAGCAATACAGAAATTATCAACAGCACAATGGAAAGAATCATGAAAAGCACAAGGCATGGCTTGCTAACTGCCTCTGCACCATCAGTCTGCTCAGGCTCAGCAGCCACTCAGGCAACAAAAGGAAAAAGTTTGTGCCAATCTGCTCTAGAGAGACAGGAAAACCTCTTGATTTTTCTGCTGCACGGGAAGGCTGCAGACACTGTACTCCAAGTGCTCCCCTCAGTGCAAGCATCATTCTCCTGTCACAAGGGACCAACACTCAAAGACAGGGGTTATAAGACGCCAGGTTTGCAGGCAGCGCTGTCAGGTGAACTGTGCAAACTGCCCCCACTGAAAGAAAGGAAGCATGTTTCCTGACATAGCAGAGATTTTGAGAAGGCTTCACCACTGCTTCTAGGACTAGGACTGTATCAGTAAATTAAATGTATTTGAGACTAGCCTCTGACACTGTGGGCAACCAGAACACAAAATCATTCATCTATATTATAAATCCTACAAAACTGAATGCCATATTATCAGGAGTGTCCCTCCACTAACTCCTAAACTGTGTCTGGGCAACTCCTGAATTGTTTGTGAGAGTGTTAGTTGCCCCAGGCCTAAGCTCTGCTCAGAACCATTCCAGCAATCCATCAGCATGGACAATCAACTTCCAGCTGCTCGGGCATGCTCCTTGGCACTGCTTAATTCACTAGAATACATGCTGGTTCAGAAGTTTGCCTTTTAAAGCCGATGAGCACATAGTTTTCTTCCTAGTCAATGCCACTTAGTGGCTACAGCAGCTCTGAATATCAGGCTGTATTTAAAATATCTGATTTTAGCAGTCACACTGATTTTCCTCTACATGGAAAGGGCCTGAAAAGCTATATGTAACCCTGTTTCGATCCCAGGGCACTCTTTCACAATTTGTATTCAAAAACATTCAAAGCAATGGGGATGATCCAGAGTTAGACATTGTAATTTGACCATTTAGCATGCCTTAATTTGATTAGTATTAGATATCCATGAAGTGAAAAGTGCCACAGGAGATATATGCCAATCATGACTGAATAGTTCTTGTCCTAACTGTGAAAGGTGCTTGTCAGTCCCATTAGTAGCATCAGACTCTGACCATGTCCTCATTGTTCATCACAAATTCAGTGGTGGGAATACTTTTCCTCTCTCCCTTTTATTAATTCTAATGTAAAAATAATCTCATTGTCATATTGGAACAGAAGCAACTTCAATATTTGTTGACATGCCATTAAGCAATTTTTTTCCCCCCTTAAAGTTATAGCAGGTATCAGGGAGACAGATGAAAAATTCTATTACATCGTGAAAGAAGAGAAGAATTACAGAGAAGCCTTGGTCCACTGCAGAGACAGAGGAGGAACACTGGCCATGCCTAAAGATGAGGCAACCAATGCCCTGATTGCCGACTACATCTCCAACAGCGGCCTCTTCCGAGCCTTCATTGGGCTGAATGACATGGAAAAAGAAGGACAGTTCATGTATGCAGACAACAGCCCACTGCAGAACTACAGTAACTGGAAGGAAGGGAAGCCCCACGACCCCACTGGCCGTGAAGACTGTGTGGAAATGCTCAGCACGGGAGAGTGGAATGACTCCGAGTGCCAAGTCACCATCTACTTTGTCTGTGAATTCCTCAAGAAGAGGAAATAAAAGGGCCGCAGAATGTGCCTGGCACCTGCTGTACATACAATAACCCCTCCTCATTCACCCACTGCAGGGAGAGTAGACAACAGGGACAGGGCTCAATCCAGCCTTCACCTCACTGGGCTAAGCAAGAGTAGCTACTGTTAAGATGGCAGTGTCTATAAAGTCAGCACAGGTCTGCAGGAGGCATCCAGCAAGCTGTGAATTTTTATTTCATTTCTTTGTGCAATTTAGGGCGGGCATTTCTATGTGTAATTTAGGGGCAGGTTTAGAGCACACAGAGGTATGATTTCACTAATGCCAGAAATAGTAAGCTCACTGGTATATTAATCACTGATGTGCTTTGCAAACTCCACAAAGAGTGTGATCTTTACTCATCTTTGGCCTTCACAGGAACTCCCAGTAATTTCCTTGGTGACGTCAGAGCTGGGAGAACAGATTTGCAGTTTCTCTTGAGAAAATCCTTCTTTTGTTAGAATCATAGAGTAATTTAAGTTGGAAGGGATCTTTGGAGGTCATCTGGTTGAATCTTCCGTGCAAAGTACAGCCAATTTCAAACTTACGTATACTCTCCTTAATTTGGCTGTGCAATTATATTGCCTGATATGCAGGGGAGGACTCGCTTATCTCTGCTTCCAACTCTATCGTCCGTCAAGCTGGTCTGAGGTGTGAGGAATTATCTTAGCACTTCCACATGGAAACCTGCACAGCTTGTGGGCAACCTGAGAATAGATGGAGCAATTCTAGCCTCTGATGTCCCCCAAAATTTGCGAAAAACATAGAAAAGTCTAGCACAAAGAGAACAATGCAAAGGAAGCAACACCATTGTTGTAGGCTGTAAACAGGCACATGTAGTATCTGCTATACCAATGTGCACTGCTGGTTTAACAAGTGATTCTAGGAACATGTCAACTCCCTAACTCAGTAGCCAGTGACGCTTGATGCCTAATGCTAAAATCACCTGTGCCTTTACAACACAGGAAGCAGCTATAAAACAGGCTTCATCCCCCAAGAACCCAGATTCAGGTACGGTTGAGCGACTTACTCATGCATTTCAGTGGGACTCTCCACAAATGATGAGCAGTAAGCATGAAGGCTTTGTTGTCAGTGCCCAACTACTCAGATCTTCATGTCAGTATGCCCACAATGGATCACATTTTCATATCTTTGATAATACCAAAGGAGCTCTTTTCTTCAGACACAGCAATGATTTTGCCTTCAGAAGTGAGCCTGCTCTTAGTCATGGTTCACCCTCTCTCACAGCAGGAGATGTCAAGAGAAACCCCAGGGCCCCTGCAATGGAGATCTATAGATTTTCTTTCCCACTTGACACTAAAAATTGAGTGATATCTGGAGACTAAGGAGAATGCTAGACACTAGGCACAGTGCAGCAATGTACCCTGCAGATCACTCTGAGCACTAGTTGCACATAGTCTTTCTCTGAGTATATGAAGAGCTGGATGTGCCACCAGCTAGTAATGCAGAGGGTCAGCTCCAAGTCTCCCTTCTACTGCTGTGTACAGCACTGCAAAGGCAACTGGACAACAGTCATAATTCCTCAACCTCACCCTCAACAGGAAAATCCTCCAACCCATTTATCTGGTTGTTAGACTCCAAGCTCATCTCTGAGCAATGACCAACGCAGGAGCATCCCAGGAGACTGTGACTCAGAACCACTCTTGTAATCCAGTTTCTCTGCTACTTGTTCCTCCAGAAAACTACCTGTTGCTACCAGCAGTAAATTATCTGTGTTGCTACACAGCCTCCAGAGAACTATTCAGACCATGAGTGAAGGGGTGGGACCATATTTTTTTTAATTGCTCCTCTACTACACTATGAGAGTGTTTGGGCAAGCAGGTTCACTTAGCCCAACAAAACTCATCCTGAATTGTTCCCTTCCTAGGAATTGATATTCCCCCAAATCAAGCAGAATTATACTTTTTAGGATCTATAGTAATAAACTCACTAAACTAAACACTTTGGCTTTAGATTCATTAATGGGTAATGCTAAAGAATTAATGACTAATTTAAGGCAAAATTTCTTGAAGAAAAGTAATACCTTTTAGTTCAAGCCCAGGTCTGCTAGCCTCAGCAGGTCAGTTCTTACTAGTCATACAGAAGTGTCACAGTAACATCCCTGTGGGTAGGCATAGTCACACTGATACCCTCCCCACACCTCATCTTTACTTCTGACCCAAAAAGTCAGCAAAACATGCTTGCCAGACTGAGGGTCCAAATTCTGGAAACCTCCAGCCATACTGAAACCACTGGCTGACAAAATCCAGAGGTGTACTTAATGCCACAATCATCATGAACAGGCCATTTTCCTGTTCTTTAGGAGGAAACTCCGAGCTGGGAGCAGGTAAAAGCAATACTTTGCTGAAGGATCAGGCTCTGCCTGAGATTCAACCAGGCACTCTCCTTCACATACAAAATCAGGGAATGCATGTCTAAATTGAAATTGGTCTGTTTTAGGAGACTGTGAGTTATAAGTAATCCTGGAGCATGCTTCATGTACAGGAAGGAATGACTGTCACAGTCTCTGGCTGCACAGACAAGGGAAGCGAGTGAGGAACTTGTGTTGGGTTTCTGCAGTGGAAAGGCTGGAACTACCCAGTTCCTCCATCCTCTTCCTCTCCTACCCCACATCAGCTTCATCCTTTCTTAAATAGAAAAAATAAACAAAACCAACCCTTCTACCCACTATGTATTCATGTAACATTGGGCAAGGCTATACTAGTTAAAACATGGGGACCTGGGGTGGCTGTTCCTTTGCTAACTACAGAAGAGGGACAGCAGAGGAGCACAGCACAGATGTTCAAGCTAGCCAGGCATAAGTGTGATCAGGTGCTTGTGCAGCCCATTCCTGCAGCACTAGGTCCCGGTTAATAAATTTTGCCAAGAAGCCTAACTCATAGGCCAAGCCAAACAAAAAAGACTATCCCACACAGGAAACCTGGCAGGTAGGTCCATACAGCTCTGCACCATGCCACGCAGACACAAGCTTGACCCTGCATTAACTCAAATATTACAGCTGTGTTTTGTAGAAAAAATATTCTCGTTATAATTAGCAATTTGGGCTATATCACTGGTTTCAATGCTAGCCAAAGGAAATTCACTGTGGTAGGTAAAGTACCTTAGGTTTCTACATGAAGTGGATGGAGCCAGGACCACAGGAAATGGTGTCTGACTATTCAGGATTTATGATCTGTTAGAGCTCAGCACCTAAACCATTTTACTCAAGCCTAATACTGTGTTTTTCCCATGCTTTTCATTATTCCCAGTCTGAACCTTCCTTGTTTCAATTTCTGGTTGCTGTTTCTTGTCCACCCACCTATCACCACTGTGAAAAGCCCGGCTTTGTCTTCTTGAGGACCCTCTCATAGGTCCTGGCAGGCTGCTAGGAGGTCCACCTGAAGCCACCTGTACTCCAGGCTGAACAAATCAGGCTCCCTTAGCTCCTCCTCACACGGCTCCAGCTCCAATGATCTTGGGGGCCCTCAGCTGAACTTGGCTCCATTTTTTCAATGCCTTTCCTGTACTGAGGGGCTCAAAAGGACACAGTGTCTGGCTGTGGTCTAACAGGTGCTGAGTGGGAGGATAATCCCTTCCCTCAAGTTCCTGGCTGCGCTCCCTCTAGCACAGTCAGGATGCTGCTATCCGCCTTTGCTGCCAGGGCACACTCCTGATGAACGGGAGCACACTGTCTGCCAGGACTCCCAAGGGCCTTCTCAGTAAAGCCAGTCAGCCCCAGCCTGTTTCAGTGCATCAGCCTGTATCATTGGCATTCCCAGATGAAGGAAACTGCATTTGTCCTTGCTGAATTTCATAATGTTCCTGTTGGCTCATTCCTCCAGCTTGCCTAGGTCCTTCTGTATAGCAGCCCTGCCCACCAGCATATCCATTGTTCTCTCCAATTTGGTGTCATCTGCAAACCTGATGAAAGCGGACTTTATCACCCCCTCCAGGTAATTGATAAAGATGTTAAACTGGACAGTCTCAGTATATAGACCCCTGTAGCACTCTATCTGTCCTCTGGGTAGAGTACAACCCATTAACCACTCTCCTCTGAGCCCAATCATCCAACCAATTCTTACCCATCTGGTTGTCCACTCATCCAGACCATAACATCCTAATTCAGAGGCAAGAATGTTGGAGACAGTGTCAAAAGTCTTGCTAAAGTTGGGATAAGTGACTTTCAATGCTCTCCACTCATCCACAAAACCAAACATTTTATCATAGAACACAATCAGGCCCATCAGGCATTCTGACGATTCCCAATCAGCTCCTCCTTCATATGCCCAAAAATGTGCTCCAAGAGGACTTGCACCATTAAGTTCCATGGGGACCAAAGTGATCCTGATCAGTATATAGTTCCCTAGATTGTCTTTCTGACCATTTTTCAGGCTGCAACATTCACCTAGTTCCAGTCATTAGGAACCTTCCATGATCTCCATAACCTTCCAAAGGTGTTAAAGAGGCCTTGCAGAGACATCAACCAGTTCCTCAGAACCTTGGATGTGGTCTGTATGGTCCCACGGAGCTTTGTAGTCAAACTCTCTCAAGTAATCCCTGACCCAACCCTCAGCTACTGCTGGTAGATCTCTCTGAACCTTTGTCCTAAGCATGGAGGAACACAATAGCCTGTTGGTAAAGAAGGCAAAGAAACCACTGAATACCTCAGCTTTATCTGCGTCTGCTGTCACTACATCAGCTCCTCCATTCAGCAATGGTCCCATGTTTTCCTTGCACAATCTTGTTGTGCTTCCCAGTCTCAGCTGCATTTAAGCTTTGGATTTCCTGAAGATACCCCTACATACTCAGGCAACATTTCTAAATTCTTGCACTGTAGCCTGTCCTTGCTTCCATCTCCTCTATACTGTCTTTTTGTATTGGAGCTCCAACAAGGTCCTCATTTAGTCACACCAGTCTACTGGTATATCTGCTTGTAGATGTACAGTAAACACAAGACAGCTGCCTAAGATCTTGCTACTTCACAGCAGAAGTACTACAATGTTCTTCCTGCTCTTGGAGAGCCAGAATTTTATGATCTCCTATATTCAGAAACTGTCATCTCACTCAGTGCAATCATTAACTCCAGCTCTTCCCAGGTCCAGAATGCACATAAGATACTGATAACCATGGTAAATATGTTTTTAAAACTAATTATAATAAAAATGGTCACAGAATCAATATATTCCATTAAAAATATATTTTCCTCAAACTTTTCAAACAATTTCACATGGTCATTAAGCAGATCCACTTCTTTCACTGCCTTCAATCTGTTCAGTCACTTAAAAAAAAAAAAAATAGCATCTAGAGCAATGGAGGGCCACATTCTTAACCACAGTCACAAGAATATCTGTTGTAGGGACAACACAGCAGGGCATAAGCAATCCAGTAGGTTCCTGGAATAATTTGATACTGCCTTCTCCAAGTGATAGAGGAGCCAATGAGGAGAGGTGTTGTGCTGGACTTTGTTCTCACCAACAAGGAGGGGCTGGTGGGGAGTGTGAAGCTCAAGGGCAGCCTTGGCTACAGTGACCATGAAATGATGGAGTTTAAGATCCTTAGGGTAGCAACAAGGGAGCACAGCAAGCTCACTGCCGTGGACTTCAGGAGAGCAGACTTGGCATCTTCAGGGATCTGCTTGGTAGAGTATCATGGGATAAGCTCTGGAGGGAAGAGGGGCCCATGAAAGCTGGTTAATATTCAAGGATCACCTCCTCCAAGCTCAGGAGCAATGTATCCCAACAAAGAGGAAGTTAGGTAAGAATGCCAGGAGGCCTACATGTGTGAAAAAGGAGCTCCTGGACAAACTCAAATACAACAAGGAAGCCTACAGAAGGTAGAAGCAAGGACAGGTAACCTGGGAAGAATAAAGAGAAACTCTCCAAGCAGCAGAGATCAAGTTAGGAATGCCAAAGCCCTGATAGAATTAAGTCTAGCCAGGGGCATCAAGGGCAAGAAAAAAAGCTTGTGTAGGTACATCAGTGATAAAAGGAAGACTAGGGGAAATGTGGGCCTTCTCTGGAAGGAAATGGAACATCTGGCTACCTGGGATATGGAGAAAGCTGAAGTACTCAATGACTTTTTTGCCTCAGTCTTCACTGGCAAGTGCTCCAGCTACACTGCCCAAGATGCAGAAGGCAGTGGCAGGGACTGGGAGAATGAAGAACTGCCCACTGTAGGAGATCAGGTTTGAGACCATCCAAGGAACCTGAAGGTGTGCAAGTCCATGGGGCCTGATAAGATGCATCCATGGGTCTTGAGAGAGCTGGTAGAGGAAGTGGCTAAGCCACTATCATATTTGAGAAATTGTGGCAGTTTGGTGAAGTTCTCACTTACTGGAAAAGGGGAAACATAAGCCACATTTTTAAAAAGAAGACCCCAGGAACTACAGGCCAAACAGTCTCACCTCTGTGACTGGCAAGATCATGGAGTGGATCCTCCTGGAAACTATGCCAGGACACATGGAAAATAAGGAGGTGATTGGTGACAACCAACATGGCTTCACTAAGGGCAAATTGTGCCTGACAAATCTGGTGGCCTTCTACGACAGGGTTACAGTGTTGGTAGATAAGGGAAGAGCAACTGACATCATCTACCTGGACTTGTGCAAAGCATTTGACACTGTCCCACATGACATCCTCGTTTCTAAATTGAAGAGATATGGATTTGATGGATAGACCACTCAGTGGATATGGAATTGGCTTGATGGTCTCACTAAAAAAGTTGTGGTCAACAGCTCAGTTTCCAAGTGGATAGGGGTGACCAATGGCATTCCTCAGAGGTCGGTGTTGGGACCAGTGAGGTTTAGCATCTTAGATGGTGACATGGACAGTGGGATCGAGTGCACCCTCAGCAACTTTACCAAAGACAACAAGCTGTGTGGTGCTGTCAACACGCTGGAGGGAAGGGATGCCATCCAGAGGGATCTTGACAGGCTTGAGGGGTGAGCCCACGCAAACCTCA